AGGCACGGCGTATCTGAATAGTAAGTACATCTTCACTAATGCGGCACCAGCTCATAAGCCAAGTCGAAGAGGCATGAAGAACAAACAGGTTGCAGTATAACAGGAGGGCAGGGCTTAGCGCTGAGAAGGTCAGGAGCCACAGAGGACATCAGGAACACGTCATGGAGTAATTCTGGAGTATTCCTGGAGTTTATTGGTCCCCAGGCTACTCCATCGCCTCCCTACAATACAGTTTTGAGCGCCCCTACTTCATTTATCTTTCAGTTGACACCATATACGTCCTGTCAATCTACACGGCTGCTGAGTGTGATTGCTGAGGATACTGGGCAGCCAGCCGCGGTCACCACTGCAGCCATAACGGGACATCACAAGAAAGGTCTCATGTCAGTAACCTAACTTTACAACTGACGGAACTAGACAAAGGACAACACATTTAACCCAGACTGACCAGAAGGAAGGAAAGCACAAAGATTAGAGAATAGAAAAACAACAAAGAAAATGAAACCAACAGCTTTTTTTAAAGATGAACAAAACCGGAAAACCTTTACCTAGATAGACTAAGAAAAAAAAAAGAGACTCCAATAATTAAAGTCAGAAATGGAAAAAAGCACGTTACTACAGATTCAGCTGAAATAAAAAGGATGTAAGAGCCCTGGCTGTTGTGGCTCAGTGGACTGAGTGCTGGCTTGCAAACCAAAGGGTTGCTGGTTTGATTCCCAGTCAGGGCACATGCCTGGGTTGTGTGCTAGGTCCCAAGTAGGGGGCGCTAAAAAGGCAACCACACATCAATGTTTCTCTCCCTCTCTCCTTCCTTTCCCGTCTCTCTAAAAATAAATAAATAAGTAAAATATTTTTTAAAGAAAGGACATAAGAGAGAACTATGAAAAACTTTACAGCAACAAATTGGATAATCAAGATGAAAGACAAATTCCTAGAAACGCAACGCCTACCAAGACTAAATCACAAGGGAAACAGACAATCTGAATAAAGTTACACCTAGTAGTGAGATTAGAGCAATAATAAAAAATAGCCCAACAAATAGAAGTCCCGGATCTGATGGCTCCACTGGGGACTGAGGCATCTGGCAGGGCGCACGCCCCTGGGGCGGCGCAGGCGGCTCTACGGGTCGCGCTGCGGACGGGCAGGGAGGGTCCACCTGCGCCACAGTGCAGAACCAGCCACAGGAGCTGCGGAAACTCTCAGGGGCCCCAGGATTCAAAACGCCGCCAGTAAGTCTCGGTCGCACACACTTCAGGTGTGTTTTCGGGGCCTTAGGAACCGGCGCCACCTCGAGTACTGCGCAGTAAGAAGCGCCTGGCTCTGGGCGCGGAGCTCACGCGCGGGGCGCACACCTGGTCCCACCTTACCTGGCTAATCTGCGGGGCTCCGGGCGGCCTATCGCTCGGTCATCCGGGCCGCCTTCCACCCACCTCGGCAGTGATGAAGATGGAGACCCTGAGGCAAGCGCGACGTCCCCCAAAGGCGGCCCTTTCTGCACGTTTGCTCGCCCCCCCTCCCCGTTCAGTGTGGACACGGCCCCCGCAGATTTAGGCCGCCCGACGTCCAGGCCCAGCGCCGGCCCACGCACGCACGCCCGCCTCCAGGTAGACCAGTGAGCCCCACGACGACCTGCCCTGCGGAGCCACTACTGCACCGGGGCGCGCGGAGCCCAACTCAGTTCCGTGACCTGCGCAGCCGCAGACCCCGCGGGAGGCTCCGCCCACACGGAGGGCAGGGCCTGGAGGACCCTCCCGGCCACCCGTAGCCCCACATCACCCCGCCTCTCCACAACCAGAGTCCCCTTGCTGGGCTCCTGCCCCTCCTCTCAGGGGACCCTGGGGTAAGGGGCCTGTTCACAGCCGCCGAGCAAAGGAGAGATACGGAAAGTAGAGAGGAAAAACTTAAGTCAATTTAGCACAGCCAAGCAATGTGCAAAAACATGAGTGAGAAAGAAATAAAGGAGGAGAGCAAAGGTGAAGCTGCAAAGCACGAAAATCGAAAGTAGGTCAAACGCACACCAACGAGAACAGTGAAGAGAGTACATCACACAAGTTCCCAGAGACATCACACACGCTCCCAGGGACGACTGCGCATCTTTCCGACGTTTGTGCCATAAAGAAACAATAGACAGCACCACGAGGAGCCAGAGAACAGGCCTGGGGCAGTGGGTATGTAACGCTTTACCAGATGACAACGGGGCCTCTGGCACGGGGTGGAGAATAAACTATTTCATGTGTTACATTCGCTCAACCCGTGGCCACGGTCCAGTACCACTGGGGCTAAATTCCTACGTCACGCGTCAGCAGCAATCGATTTTACCTAGATGCCAAATGTTCCAGTTCAAAAGCAGATTGGTGAAGCATAAGCCAACCTTCGGATTTCCTTTCTGGGTGATGAAAATGTTTTGGACTCAATAGAGGTCCCATGCTAACACAGCATTGTAAATGTGCCAAATGCCACCAAACTGTGCACTTCAAAATGGTTATTTTTATGTCACGTAAGTTTCACCTCGATTTTAAGAAAAGGAAAAGAATCTGCACGTGATTCTACTGCCAAGGTCTAGGGGCAGGGGCTTCTTTCACAGAGTTCTCCCGGACGCCTCACAGAATGACCTTTTCCTTACATCTCATCAGCCTCTTCTATCTGCAAGGGAGGGTGGAAATGCAGTCAGGGCGCATCGGCCCACCCAGCACTACGGAGGGTGTGTTAGAGAAAGAGGAAGGGGGGATGGCTGTAGAGAGGACAACTCGGGAGGGGACAGTGGGTAAAGTCAGGTCATAAAAAGGACATCAGTCGGGGTGAGAAATAGCACAGCCGGTTTGCCTTCGGTAGATTCATTGATTCAATCAAAATGCAGTGAAAGATAACACTTGTAAATAGAAAATTTCAAATGTCAAAAACCATGTGAGTGGTTAGAAGCAAAGGCCTCCTAGGCTCTAGGTTTGAAAGTGAGTGGGTTGCCTCTCACTCATCCCCAACCAGAGACCAGGCCCATGTCCTGACTGGGAATCGAACCTGAGACCCTTTGGTTCAGAGGCCGGCACTCAACCCACTGAGCCAGGCAGGGCCACTCCATCCACCAGCCAGGACCACACACTGTTTTTCTCCCTTTCTTTCTCCTACCCTTCCCCTCTTTCTGAAAATAAATAAATAAATAAAATATTTTTTAAAAGAAATTAAGTTCTTGGAACAATCTGGCAGAAGCTTAAGTAGGTTAAAAATGGTCCAAGATTTTTAAAAAAAAGACGTAAGTTTAAAAATATTATAGCACAATAACTGCACAGAGCCTCGGGGTGGCCACTCTGGCCATCAGACACGGGAAGGGCATCCACATTCATGCCGTAGCTCGGGGCGGGGGCAGGGCCCTGGTTCTCCCTCCCTGACCGGACCAGTGGCTGGGGAGGTTTCACTCGGTGGCTCAGGGGTGCCCCACCTGGGCTGTTCCAAGCTGAGGTCAGTTTTTATCTTCTGACCGGCCTTTTACCACAGCTCTGCTCCTCCGTGCCCAACTCCTCCATCATATTCCACCCTCCCGGCCGCCCTCCCACCTCCCTGCAAACGGTTCCACGCAGATCTGCTTCCCGTCCGTCCTCTTGCTCAAATCAGAAGGATGTACAGCTGCCATCCTGGGACAGCTTTCTCCTGGACAGGCTCCACTGTCTCCTACATCCCAAACCTCCTCCTCATTATTCTTCTCCTTTTCTTCTTTCTCCTCCTCCTCCAAGGTTTTATTTATGTATTTTTAGAGAGGGGGGAGAGGAGAAAGAGGGAAATATCCATGTGTGGTTGCTCTTGTGCGCCCCCTACTGGGGACCTGGCCTGCAACACAGGCACGTGCCCTGACTGGGAATCAGATCGAACCAGCGACCCCTTTGGTTTGCAGGCCGGCGCTCAATCTGCCAAGCAACACCAGGTAGGGCCAACCCTTCTTTCTTGATTATTCCATTTTCCGATATGCCTGCTAAGAACTGATTAATTGATGGTAAATTTCCTGAATTCTTGCATATCTAAAAATATCATTATTTGTTCTCGTAACTAGAGCAGCTTGGCTGCATACAGAATTCTAGATGGAAAATTATTTTTTTCCTTAGGGGAAAAACAAATCAACCCAATAGCACTGAGCACCCTAACACCTGGATTGTGGTCTCTAAGTAGTTTCCACTACCAGAATCAGGGCTCCTTGGAGATCTGATTAGGGTTTGGGATAGGAAATATTCAAGGTAAGCCTGAGATACCTTGTCATATCAGAAAGTTTGAACTGGGTGGGGATATTTTATAGCCACAAATACATAAATACTCAGCAAAGGCCATGAGTTTTTTTTTAAATACTGTAACCTACCTACATGTTAAGAAGAAATGGAGAAATGCAAGCCAACCACCTCGCTGGGAAATGAACAAAGGTGAAAGCAATTGCCGCTGGCTGTCCTGTGTTGTGTCCCATGGGCTGACGTCACTGCCTGGCCACACTGGAGAGTGTGCTGTTGGACTGCAGTTAGCCTCTGCTGGTGGCACTGTAATCATACCCAAAAACTTAGATATGCTCGCCCTTTAACCCAATAATGTACACGGGTACATTAAAAACCTGCATAACCGCACAAAGATGTATGTGCGAGGCCCCACAGTGTGGCAGTGTTTGTAACAGTGAGGAGCCGGGAACCGCACAACCCCCATTGGCAACAGGGACACGGATTACAGTGCGTGCACAGAATGAAGTGCGGGAGAGGGGCGGTTAAAAGGAGCCAGGTGGCTCTGCATGGGGGAAGGCAGGGCTTACATGTTGGACAATAGAAGCGAGTTGCAAGGGGATATCCCCAGCTTTACAACACTCCCACGTGCATAGAAGAAATGGATTCCCACCCAGCAGAAGTCATGGTGCCAGACAGCTGTCTGTGGTGTGCCTGGTAAGGAGATGCAAAGTGTACTTAATGCATTTTCGTTCGGCTGGAACTCTTACGGCTGGCATGCGTTTTGTAATCAGGGAAGGAAAAAAAGCTAAATAATGAACAAGGATCATAAAGCTTTATTTAATAAATATAACCAAAAATTTCAAAATACTTTATTCCATATGTAGCCAATTAGAGAGAGGAAAAAGTTAGGAGGAAACGTTTGGAGAGATTAAGTGAAGGGATCAGGAGAGAGGCAGGAGGTTGGGAATGTGAGTAGACAACAGGAAAATAACAAATGCAGGGGGAGGCGAGCAGGGCGCTGGGAGCCCCATGACTCCCCCAGCACCCCCCTACCCCCCCCCCCGTCATTGGTCACATCTCGCAGGCGTCCTTCCCTCCTTGGCAACGAAGGGAGACATGAAACTGACATTCGAGGAATGAATCAGGACTCCAGAAATCCCCACCCCCAGGAAGGCTGCTTCCTCTTTTTCTACAAATCGGGATTGAGGTGTTTCCCCTCCAAGATTATTAAAAGAAAAACCGGCTGGAGGACCGCAAGCTCTAGCTGGGAATCACTTTGTTTTTCTGAGTAGACTAAGACCCTCAAGGCTAGATCCTCTTGCACTAGGTCTTAACATCCATCTTCACTCAAAGCCTGTCTTTTAAAAAAAATCTGGACTATTGGGTTCTGTTCTGATGCCTCCAAATGACATTTGAAAACAGTGTTTACTTTGCAGTTCATGTGTTTCAAATCCATCGGGGAGAGGATGGGAGGGTCAGGCCTGGGTGGAGGGACACAATGTGTCGAGAAGTCAATAATCGAGTTCAAAGGCAGGTGTGGAGGCCCCGGGGAGGCACACTCTGCCCTGGTCCAGAGCAGGCGAGCCGGGATGAAGCTCGTGGCACTGGGGCCTCTGAGGGGGGTTCTGTGACTCAGGCACGGTTCTGGACCACTGGGGAGGGGGCCACAGGAAGGCTGGCCGACAACCCTCTGGTCACAGTGCTGTCCCCGTACAGCTGAGGGTGTGACCGGAGTGCGTGGCAGTGTGGGGTGCGCAAGGCTTCCCGGAAACACTTGGTAGACACGCATGGCAGGCTCAAAGCTCACCCCAGGGCCGACCCCTCATGGACCAATACTAGTTTCCTAAGAGAACCCCCTAAAAACCAGTGTCTGCAGACCCCAGAGGGGCCTGACGCCTCGCAGAGCTCCCTGAGGGCAGCGGGGAGTGGCCACAACACGCGACCCAGGGAGACCACTGGTTTCTCTGGTCTTTATTAAAGCCAGGTCCTCCTGCCAACAGCTCAGAGCAAGGCAGAGGCAGCTGGGCCTGGGAGGGGCACCGTAGGTGTGCGTTTGAGGGCCGTGGGGGAGAGATGGCCCAGAGCCAGGCGCCCGGCCATGTGGGGCCAGCCCACCTTGCTCCTGACCCTTTCTGAGGCTCCTGTCCCGCAGGGAGAGGAGACCAGGGACCAGGACCCCTGCCCTCTTTACCGTCCGCCCCACTCCCTCCCCCAGCCAGGCCCTGTTCCCGCCCACCTGCTTCGGTCCCCTACGCCCAGCCCCAAGCAGCGCAGCTGCTGGCCCTCAGCCCAAGGCGGTGCCTACACTAAACAGAGGGAACTAGGTCTAAAGGGAATGCTGACGCTTCAAAATCTGTTGGCTGGCCGCGCGCACCGGGCCAGAGAGGTGTTAAGGATGGGCTGCCGCGGGCGGGGCGCTGCGGCCTCACACAAGCTGTGCCTCTGCCTGCCAGGCGGTTTCGATGGCCCGGCCCTGGACGTGGGGTGTGGGCCGGTGTGGGCCTTGCATAGTTGGGAGCTCGGTGTGTCACTGAGCCGAGGGTTCGGGGCCAGGCCCCCAGAGATGGACCACCACAGTGCAGGCTGCCCGCTCTGTGAGGTGGGCACCTAAGTGGAACCACTGCCTGCCTCCAGGGTAGGAGGACAGAGGCGGTGTTAGAGGGACCTGCAGATGTCACTGGGCCCCTACTGTGAAATGTGAGAAAGGATTCCGCCAGCAAACTCAGCCGCTTTACGGGTGGCTATGAAACCTAAGTGGGCGCTGGGCTCCGAAGGGCAGGTCGGCACCTGTCCCTCTGCTGGCTCCTGGAGAGATTGGCAGCCCCGGGGGGCAAAGGGTGGGGCCCTGGCCCCGAGGGTCTCTGAGTGTGTCACCTCCTGTGTGAGGGCGAGCACCAACGGACTCAAAGGAAAGGCTGAGACTAAAATGACCGGCACGGTGAACACCGGGCCCAGCCAAGTGCTCTAGTAGGGTGAGGACAGTGGGTGACTCCAAAGAATAAGGCTTAAAACTCCCTCGGGACCTGCCGTGCCTGGGCCCCACCCGACCCCCAGGCCGCAGATTCAGCTTCTGGCTTTTAACCCTCCACCCCATTCTTCAGACCACACAAAAGATGGAAATACACGTCCCCAGTGGAGGCCAAGCCAACCCTTCCTCAGCTGCATTTCCGCCCCAGGTTAGGGACGACCATGGTCCTTTGGGATCCCAGGGGCTGCCCCTGTTCCCCCAAGGGCACGGTGGGTAGAACTCCCGGGGGGCTCTCGGCTGACCGGAGGACCCCTAGCTCTTCCACTGAGGTATGGAGGGAGTCGACAGCAAACCCGGGAGAAGCCCACGCTCGGCCCTCCACCACCCTGCCTTCCCCTCAGCACAAGGGCTTCCCCCTCACTCTGAGACCCCCGGTTGTAGACTCATTGGCCACCTGTCCCGTGGGCCACCCAAGTCAGAACCCCAATAAAATAAATAACATGTCCTGACATCCCTACCGCTTGGTCACAGCATCGACCAGGGAAGTGGAAGTCTTTGTCAGGGCGGGCGGCCCCCTACCTCACCTCTTCCACCTGGCTCTCCTCTCTGCCCCCCACGACAAGCTGGGTGGCGCCGCTCTCAGCGGGGCACAGGGAAGCCCGAGGCCAAGGGCTGAGGGAAGGCACCGCGCCAGGACTGGGACCCTCAGCCCCGAGAGGCCAGGGGAGCAAGGGGCTGGCACCTGAGCAGCCCTGGGGGGGCGGGGCCGGTGGCCTAGCGGGCTGTGCTTCCATCAGCCTCGGGCACTCACAGGACACTCCCCTCATAGGCGCCCGAGGGCCCCGCAAACACGGTGGCGGGCTCGGAGCCAAAGCTCGTTCCGCCCGCAAACTCCAGCAGGGTGCTACCGTGCTCCCCTGTCCCAGTGCCCGCGCTGGTGCTGGGTGGCCCTTTGGCAGGTGCCTCGGTCTTAGCCGCAGTGGGGGCCGTGGTCCCGGTGCCGGGCGCACCCGCTGCGCCGCGGTGCGTCTTCATGTGGGTGAGCAAGTGCGAGCTCTGCGAGAAGCGGCGGCCACAGTTGGCGCAGGCATAGGGCCGCTCGCCCGTGTGCGTGCGCTGGTGCGTGACCAGCACCGAGCGCTGCGAAAAGCGCTTCCCGCACTCGGGGCATGGGAAGGGCCGTTCGCCTGTGTGGCCACGCCGGTGCTTGGCCAGGTTGGAACGCTGTGCAAAGCCGCGGCCACAGTCGGAGCAGCGGAAGGGCTTCTCGCCCGTGTGCGTACGCCGATGCCGCTTAAAGTCCGAGCTGTGGCCGAAGCCCTTGCCGCAGTCAGGGCAGCGATGCGGCTTCTCCTCGGCATGAGCCCACTGGTGCCGCGTCAGCGCTGCGCTCTGCCCGAAGCGGCGGCCACACTCGCCACATGCATAGGGCCGCTCGCCGGTGTGTGCGCGCCCGTGCGCCGTCAGGTGCGCACGCCTGCTGAAACCTGCGCCGCACACGCCGCACACAAAGGGCTTCTCACCGGTGTGGCCGCGTACGTGTGCCGCCAGGTGTGAGCCTCGAGCGAAGCGCGCGCCACACTCTGGGCAAGGGAAGGGCCGCTCACCCGTGTGTGTGCGCCGGTGGCGCGCCAGGTGCGAGCCATACACAAAGCTCTTGCCGCAGTCTGCGCAGCGGTGCGGCCGCTCGCCTGCGTGATAGCGCTGGTGCTTGGCCAAGGCGGCACGGCGCCCGAACGTCTTGCCGCAGTCGGAGCAGATCCACGGGCTCTCCTCTTCGGCCAGTGTGGCTGGCGCCGGCTCGGCCAGCAGTCCCCCAACAGCCGGCCCGAACGCACGCAGCCCGCCGCCGCCACTGCCCCCAGGCCCACCACTGCTGCGGAAAGGGTCGCAGGCCAGTCCTGCACCCTCCACCAGAGACAGCCGGCCCCCCAAGGGTCCCGACAGAGGCCGCCCATCAGCCGGCAGCTGCTCCCCGAAGCCTGGGAGGCTTAGGATTTGAAAGCCATCTGGATGGAGCCAAGACTTGGGATGAACAGAAAAGTGGAAGCCGAGTGGGTGCGAGGAGGGCCCTTCCCTGTCACCCAGGCCATTGCCGAGTTCCAGAAACCGCCTCCCGGGCCCCGGGTCCTCTTTGCTCCGAGGGGTGGGCACCTCTGCTGCAGCTGCAACCTCTTCTCTCGCCTCGGCCTCGGCCTCTCCATCCACCTCGCTGGCCTCAGGCCGCTCCGACCCGGCCTCAGGTTCATCGGGCTCTGCCGCGAGCACCGTCTCACAGGCCTCTTGCCGAGGGCCGTCGCCACTGGGCTCAGAGCAGCCCCCACCGCGTCGGTGGCGCTGGAAGTCCGCACGGAGGCGGAAGGCCTGGCCGCAGTCCGGACAGCAGTGCGGCCGGTCGGCAGTGTGCACGGCCTGGTGTCGCGCGAGCGCCGAGCTCTGGCTGAAGCTGCGGCCGCAGTGTGGGCACGGGTAGGGCCGCTCGCCCGTGTGCGTGCGCTGGTGCGTGACCAAGTAGGAGCGGCGCCCGAAGCCTGCGCCGCAGAAGGCGCAGCGATAGGGCCGCTCGCCCGTGTGGATGCGCCGGTGCGTAACCAAGTGAGACTTGTAGACGAAGCGCTTGCCACAGTCCGGGCACGGGAAGGGCTTCTCGCCGGTGTGCGTGCGCTGGTGGATGGCCAGGTGCGAGCGGTACACAAAGCCCTTGCCACACTCCTCGCAGCCGAAGGGCTTGACGGCCGCATGGTAGCGCTGGTGCTTCGCCAGCCGGGACCGGTGCGGGAACACCTTACCGCACACATCGCAGGTGGTCTCGGGGTGCCCAGCCTGGGCGGCCGCTTCGTCAGGGAACGCCCAGGGCGCCAGCAGGCTCCCATCCGGTTCACCGCCCGGCAGGAAGGGCTTCACCTCCTCGCCCTCCGCCAGGGCCCCTAGGCCGCCTGGGTCGAGCCCCCAGCCCTCCGGAGTCTGCACGGAGTCAGGGTCATCAGGGCCCCACGTCCCAGGCACGTCCCCCACGCCATAGGCCGCGGACCACAACCCCGGCGGCTCGTTCTCTTCCTCGGCCACCTCTGCCAGGAAGTCCTCGTCATCTTCCTCCTCGTGGTCCTCTAGGTCATCGGTCCAGAACCATGCACCTGAAGGTGGCAACGGGAGGCCGGAAGAGAGAGGTGAGACTGGGCTGCCACAGGAGCCCCTGCAGGCTCTGGTCCCTGGAAATCTCAGCTTCTGCAGGGGCAGCTGCCATTGGAAGCTCTGCTCGGCATTCCTCCCTCTGGGTTCTTCTCCACCAGCCTAAGGCTGGCTGGCAACCAGGGCATCCCTCCTGCACCCAGAGTAGAGCCAGGAAAGGCTGCCCTGGTCAAGGAGGCCGGGGGCTCGCTGCTCAGAAACTGCCCAGGCCCCCCTGCTGAGCTGTGAGCCGTGCACCCCCCCACCTGGCCTTTTCTGAGCAGCTGTGCGTCTGGGCAACGGTCCCCAGTGGGTCCAGTCTGCAGGGCAGCTGCACGCCACTCCCCACCACACAAGGACAAGGCCTCCCAAGTTCCTGCTGCTCCATCGCTCCTCCAGGCTGCACCACGCCCTCTCCCTTCAGTGCACAGCATGGGTATGGGGCCAAGTCTGCAGGGCTTCCAGGTTCATACAGAGGGAGTGCCAGTCTGCCTGCCTCTGTGACCCGCCCAGAGGGAACTAGTGTTTATGCAGGGGGCACTAAGTCACACCAGGGACCGACGGCCAACACCTGGCCCACAGGGGTGGGGGTGGGGGCAAGTATTCCAAAGCACCTGCGTGCTTCCCCGTGTGCACTTTACGCCACGCGCCCACGGCGGATGTGCATCATTCCGCAGCCCACCTGCGGGGGAGACTCTGGCCAGAACCCAAACCTGAAAGGGGGCCCAGCTTGTCAAACACAGGTGGGGAATACGCTTGTGTTCTGCAGGGCTACACGCTGGCTACACAGCGGCTCTGCGTGTCCCAGCAGCCCGCACCGGCTCAGTGGCACAGAAATGAAGGTCGGGAAGGAGACGGACTATTTAGCAGACAGGGTGTGGTTTTGCTCGGGGAGGACCTTAGATGGACCTGCCCCGCAGAGTGACCCCAGCAGACAGGTGACACCTCTGTCAGAGGTGTCCACCATGCTTGGATCCCACCCACCTCAGGCTCTGCAGGTGGCCGGGATCAGGAGTGGGGCAGCATTCCAGGTCCCCCAGCCAGGTTCACGGACACACTGTGGCACCAAGACCCTCCAAGAACCATGGAGGACTGGGCACATCCAGGCCCCGTGACAAGAGAATGGCCAGTGCCAGCCTGTGGCTTTCTGAAATGTGCCCATAAACAGGACACAAGTCCCTCTAAGACCCTCTGAGAGATGTCACCGACCTCCCAGACTCCTCCTGGAGGCAGCTGAGCTACTCCTCGCTGGCCAGAGCCCTGCGATTCTGAAGGATTCTGAGGGAGTCCCGGACAGTGGACACTGGGGCAGAAAGTCCACCCTGCAACTCAGTGGAAAGTGAGGCCTGAGGCTGACCCACCGAGGACAAGCCAGGTGATCACCACCTGAGAGGTCAACTCCCTCACAAGCAAGGTGAGGCCAGTTCCCACCCCTGCTGTTCCCAGGGTTGTCGGGACCACCGAGGGTATGCGGGGAGACACTCGGAATGTGCACACATGCAGAGACCGCCTGTGCCTCCCCATGTTTTTTACTGTAAACACATCTCTGAGCTGACGAGTCTGTCCAGGCACGTGATTGGCACGACATCCAGTGACCCTCCCTAGGTTGGTGTCGCTCCAGCCCAAAGCCCAGCGCACCTACTGTGTGCAGGCTTCCACTGAACCTGCTAGGACTCCAAGGGCAACTCACAGCCCCCCACGAGACACCTCCACGGCATCGAGAGTCTGATGTCCTCGGGTCAGAAACTTCAGGTTTAGTTCAAACTCTTTTATTTCCCAGGTGAGTGAAGTGAGGCTCAGTCAGACGGAGGACGAGAGCCAGAGCCAAAGCCTGGCCCCGGGCCCCCAGAGACATCTGCCCCCTGAGCACTTCCTGGAAGAATCTCTCCAAAATCCCCTCTCTGGAGGGTCCAGGCTGCCCGCCCAGGCTGGAGGCCCATCTCTGGGCCTTCCGGGGGAGGAGAGAAGGCTCAGAGGCACTGGTTGTTTGGAGGTGGCCGAGTAGGTGGAGAAGCGGAGGAGTGGCCCCGGCACGGCCGGGCCGACAGCTGCTCGGCGCCTGGGGCGCACCCCTCCGGCTGACAACGTCACAGCAGGCCCCACTCCCCAAATCACTCAGAGACTCCAACGCAAGGACAAGGGCTCATTTCTAAAGTGTCCTGAAAGGAACCCCTGGGTGCTCAAAGGACCTCCCTGCTGCAACTCTCTGCAGGCTGGGACAAGAGGAGCCAGCCCACGAAGGCAGTGCTTAGCCCGCGGTGGCCGCCCCGTCCCCACGAAGCCCGCCCCACAGCCCAGGCAGCAGTGCCAAGCCGGAGTCGGGCGGAGCTCGAAGGAGCCGTGCCGGCAGAAACCCCGAAGACACGCTCTCACGCTCACCTGTGTAAACACCGGTGACGATGTCGCCCTCCTCAGGCCGGGGGCTGTCTGGCACCCAGGGCTCCTGCCCTTGCTCTAGCCGGGAGATCAGGTCTGGCTTGGGGATGGCGTACCCTGCCGTGGAGGAAACCAGAGGGCAGTGCAGCTGCGCCCACAAGCCCCCTCCAGCTCCTCAGCTCCTCTCTCCTCCGCCCCTTCCCGGACCAGCCCTCCCACCTCCCTGCCTCACTCTGGAAAATTCCACGTTCCCTTCTCTAAGCCTTGCCCAATAGCCCCAGCTCTCCTGCCTAGCCCCTCCACACACCTTCTGCAGGGTGCCCACCCCTCTCTCCTTCACCCCTCAAGGCCTCTGGGGGTGTTGAGAGGTCAGGGCAGGGCCGGCAGCTCTCCAGCGCACGTCCACCTGGCTCATGGCACTGCCGGGCCACACCGGGGCCCCCATGACAGCTCCTGCCCAGCAGCACGGTAGTCCCTGGGGCTCCCTGGGAGGTGGGTCCCCTTCTCCAAGACCCTGTGGCTGTAGAAGTGGTCCTCTCAGGCAGCTGAGCCCCTGGCAGCCATCGAACCAGGAGGCCTCTTGGGGATGAAAGGGCCCTGCTTACCCAAGGACACCAGGATCCCATAGTTCTCCTGCATGACTTCCTCATAAAGGTCCCGCTGGTCTGCATCCAGCCGCCCCCACTCCTCCAGGGAGAAGTACACAGCCACATCCTCGAAGGTGACCAGCCCCTGGGAAGCAGAGTGCCCTGGTCACGGCTCTGAACGGCCCCAGACGAGGGGAAGGGCCCACAAAGGCAGCGACAGAAGGTGACCTGGACAGGACAGACCGAGGCCCCAAGACTTGGTGCACACGGGGCCACAGCCCAATGCCATTACCAGTAGGCCTATCACTGCCCAAAGCACTGGGGGCTTCCGGGCCTGGCCATGGCCCTTCAGGGCAGGGTCTGTCCCTTTTCGGAGAGCAGGAACCCAGGCCCAGAGAGGGTGGGCACCCAGCTCACAGGGGACAGAGTCAGGATTCACACGACCACCTCGTCCCACCAACTTCACCATCTGGCTCAAGCCAGCAGTCACGCCCAAGGGCCTACACCCGGGGGCACAAGCGGCACCCATTAAGCAGAATGTGGGCATTGGTGTCCAACCTGATGGGCTCAGCAGGAACTCAGATCCTGGACAGGGGACAAGCACTCCAGGGAAGGGGCGCAGCCTGACCCTGGGGAAGGGTCAGGCCCCTGAGGGAACTGCACTGTGATGGTGAGTGGGCGGCGGCGAACAGGACATTCCGATGGCCTGGGAAGGAACAGCCCGGGGCCTTGGGCAGGAGCCGCCTGGCGCTTTCTGCAGCCCCATCGCAGCTCACAGCCTGGCCTTGGCCTGAGGACCACAGAGCAACCAACGGGGGTCTCCAGGACAGCAGGGGGCATGCCCCCAGGCACCCTGCCTGGCTAACTGAGCTCCAGATGAGAAGGCAGCTCACCTGAGACCCAGCTGTGAGGAAACCGTCCTCCTCCTCCTCGTCCTCTTCCTCCTCCTCCAGGTCTTCCTCCCCAAGCAGGGTGGGAGGCCGGGAGGCCCGCGGGGCTGCGGGGGAAGTCTCTTAGGGTCCAGCCGCCCTGAGTGCTGGGCCTTGTCACCCCGGCCGCCTCTGCCCATCCAGCAAGCAGGCTCAGGGCTCCTGCCGGCTCCCCGCTTCAAAGCCTGGCCCTGGCGTCCCAGCGCCAGCCCGCTGGGCGGAAGAGCTCTCCTGGCCCACCCACCTGCCCTCCTTCCCCATGGCCGGCTCCTTCTTACCCTTTTCCTGAACAGCTGGGGACTTGGCGTCACCACCACAGCTAAGACGTTCCTGCGTCCCCGACTCTGGACTCTGCTCCTCCGCCACCACCTCCTCCAGGTCCTCGTCCCCCTGCAACTCCACCTCCACCTGCCCCCTGCAGGCCTCCGGCTCCTCCGCCACCGCCTCATCTTCCTCTTCTTCCCCTGCCAGCTCCTCCTCGTCCTCCAGCATCTCTACGTCTTCCCCCTTCTCTTCCTCCTCCTCTTCCTCCTCCTCAGGATCACATTCCGACCCGTCCTCTGCCCTCTCCAGGTGGGCCGCTGGGGAGTCTGGAGCTGTGTGGAGGGCCGCCATCTTCACGGGAAGTCGGCCTCAGCCCGGCCTGAAACACAGACGGTCCGGGTGACCAGCCGCCCCCGGCACGCGTGCAGGGCAGGCTCCTCCATGGGCCTCCCGCTGGCCCTGGGTGGGAGGCAGGATTCACTTCCCCCACAGCAGTGACAGCAGGAGGTGGCCCAGCTCTTCCCACAGCCTTGTGCTGCAGAGCAGGCACTCTGCACCCAGAGGTGCCGCCCAGAGAGCCCGCTCTGCGACCCCACAGTGTGGTCGCCGCAGGTGGAGTAAGTCAGGGATTTACCCCAGGTCTTCATCCTTGAGGACCAGGGGCTTTGCAAAGGAATTAAGTGTAAAAGGTCTTGAGATGAGGTCGTCCTGGATCAGGGCGGCCCTGCCCCCAGTGACGGTGTCCTCAGAAGAGACACGGCACAGAGAGGAAGCCACGTGGCAGCCCTTCGCACCGCGTCCAGGCAACACGGCCCAAGGGGGCCCGAGTGTAGCTGGAAGGGGTGCGTGAGTGTGGCTGCGCGAACAGCCCGCCTGGTATTCGGAAGGAGGGGTTCACCCCACACCCAGCACACCCAAGTTGGGCTGCCGAGGACAGGTGCACAGTGGGGCGGGGTGCAGGGCAGAGGTGACAGCTAAGACCAGCCAGGCGTTCACCCCCACCCCCGGGGGCCTGCTGTGGACAGCCAGCAGGCTGCACTCCCACTCTGAGGGGCAGTGAAGAGGCCCTGAGCATGCCCAGCCCTGCCCGAGGCAGCGCCCCTGCCCCTTGCCCCGTCCAACCAGGTACTTGGAGAGAGCTCAGCGGGTCATGGAGACTTGGATCATCACTCAACGAGCAAAAGGTGTAAAGTGCCCTGGGACGTCTCTTCCAATTCAGACACCGGAAACCCTGAGAGCTGTCAAAGTCCCGGTGCCTCACAGGGTCCTGCTGTCACACCAGCGTCACAGCCAGTTCAGCCCAGGCACTTGGGAGACACAGCCAGGAAGACGTGGCCGGGCGGTGGCCCGGCCCGGGGCTGTGGGTGCAGGGAAAGGGAGGCCTCCGGCCCCAGGGCCACCTCTCCCTGGTTGTCAGTCCTCTGTTGGCCTCAGGAAAGCCCCAAGGGCAGAGAGAGTCCGTTCCCAGGGCTCCTTCTTGGGAGTAAACCTGAAAACACGCCCACCACCCAGCACCTGCTCCATCAGCATCTCAGATCTCAACAGGTTCATCCCCCACGTGAGCCACGCCCACTACAAACACAGCAACCCAGAATTCTGGGGTGAGGGTGAGGGCGCGAACCCAGGAAAGATCCCGAGATGGCAGGCCACACAGGGCAGCGGGGCTCGGCTTACCCAGCTCCACCAGTGGGCAGCACCTGCCACCAACCCCGAAACAGGGCGGGGGCACCAGTGAAAAGACACCCAGGGTACTGAGGACAGTTCCTGTCACTGGGCACCCGGGAGAACTGCTCCGGGGCTAGCTCCGACTCCACGACTCTTCACTTTGGCAGTAACAAGGCAGTGTATGTGCACTTCCCTTATGGCCGCTTTGAACCCACACTTAAATAGCCAGGGAGCTCGGCGCAGTCACGAGGCTCCTCCGGAGCCCAGGGCCCAGGGCTCACTGGCACCAGAAGCCGCCTCTGCCCTGACCCTCGGGCTCCCCTGCTGGTTCCAACCTTAGCCCCAGGTCACAGGTGAAGAACTATGCCTAGGAGGGCGCCCCCACCCCCATGGGGGGTGCCCCAGCCTCTCCCAGAGCTGCCTCTTCAGTTTCCACAGCTCTCTGGTGTGTGACGGTGCTGCCCAGGCCACCTCTGGGAAGACGCAGCCCTGCCCAGCCCTTGGGGCAATGAGAATGCCAGCCGAGGTTTCCCAACTGCCACCTACCTCAGGCTCAGAGGGCTCTTCTCACCCTGACCTCGGGCTGCAAATTCAGGCCAAGAACAGACACCACACCCAGCCCAGCAGACATGCCTCCTGCTGGGCCCAGGGACCCACCTCAAAAGCAAATGCCGCAGCTTTGGAATAAACTGACCCCACGCTCAGGGCCTGGGCGGGTGCCTTCCCCCCTCCCCAGGACTCCCTTTCCCTCCTTCTCACCCACCCTCCAGAGGCAGCCTCCAACCCGCCACAAGCCCAGGTGCATCCAGTGCGGGGGCCGAGGCCCTCCCAGCACCTGCACTGTTCATACGTTAGGAGCTCCCTGCTCACTGCCAGAGGCACAGGTACACAGTCAACTCTAAGAAGGTGGGAGTTTCCTCTGCCCCTCTCTGGGTCCCCTCAGGCCAGACTAGAAGGAGGGCTCAAGTCCTTGTTGAAGAAACGACTCTGGGTCCCGTAGTCAGTGGGATGAGCGTGTAATTGAAAAAACGCAGCCTCCTGGCCCCACTGACAAACTCCAGGCCAGACTGGCCGCTGTGGAGGGTCCCACTTGTGGGGCTCTGAGTCTCCACCTCCAGAGAGGTTTGGCCCACAGTCCCTTCTCCCGACAAGTGCACCTGCTGGGGAAAGGAGAAGGGAAAGGCCCAGCAGCCATGGAGGCTGGCAGTCACCCTGCTCGGGACGAGGGTCCAGCACAGCCAGACACCCACATAGGACCCAGAATGCGGAACAGAGCACCTCCAAAACTGGGCCTCAGTCACCTGAGCACTGTGTTCGCTTTGCCTCCCCAGGTGAGCACTGGGCCTGCTCCCCAGATCTGCTCGCCCTTCTTCCCTCCGTCAGCCCACCGGAAACTCACTCTGCGTCCTTCCCCGCATCCAATCTCAGGTCGGCAGCCACGAAGGGTCAGGGGCACAGCATCACCAGCAGGCACCACGGGTCATCCCCAGGCCCTTGTTTGCGGTGAGCACTGCACCTGAGGCTACAGTGCTGCCGGCAAGATACTTTCCACGGGGAGAAAGGAGGACCCCCAGGACGGAAAGAAGGGGCAGAACTGAAAAACTGCTGGAAATATTCCAGAAAAGTGGATCAGTAGACACGGAGAAGTCGGGGGGGGGGGTAGCAGGGGAGCCTGTGGGTGCGCATGGATTCCTCGCTCGGCCTCGCTCACCACACCCCTGTGATTCAGGGCCTTCCAGGTTTTCAGCTCCTCCGGGAAGCCTCCTTTCTCGGACCAGCAGGGCCCTCACCGTCCGACCGTGGATCTGGGTTCCCCGGCTCTCCCGGTGGAAGAACATCTACGGACCGTCCCAGCCCTCGCACCACGCCGGCCGGCCCGCTCCCCAGACCGACCAACACTTGTTGACTCGAACCAAGTACCGAGGTCTGCCGACACGGGCGCAGCCAGGGGGCTGATCCCCCCGCACACTTCCCCTTCCCCGCCCCCACCGGGTCCTGCACGGAAGGCCAGCCGCCGTCCCGCCTCTGCGGCCACATGGGGCAGCGCAGACCCCGTCCAACTCCGGGGCCGGCCGCACGGCAGCCCGCTCGGGCGTCCATTTGCAGACGAGGGAGGGAGGCCCCAGCAAGACCCCCGACGGCACTAAGCAAGCTCACGAGGGCCTGGCCAAGCCCCTCCGTCCTTCCAAGGGGCTCGCCCCCCACGGAGGCCCCGGCGGTGTCAGCCCCTCCTGGATGGGTGTGTCCCTGGGGCCGGCCACCCAGCGACCCCCGCCCCGACCGCGGCGAACACGCCCCGAGGAGTCGCGGCCGCGCCCCCGCCCCACCCCACCTGCTCCGCGCCGCCTTCCAGGACAGGCCCCGGGGGCGGAGCCCGCCCCACCGCGCAGGCCCGGGCCGGGGTCGCAGGCCGCGGCGGGCAAGGGCGCGGCCGCCGGAGGCCCAGCCAGCGCGCCGCTCCGGCCCCGCCGGGCGCAGGCCCAGGGCTCCGCCGCGCGCCGCGGCCTCCCCCGCCGCCTCCGGGCCGGCGTCGAGGGGCGGCCCGGCCCCGACCCCGCGCCCGCGCCCCCGCCGCACCTGCCGCGCGCGCCGCCGCCCGCCGGCCCCGCCGCACACTCACCGCGCGCTGCGGGCCGGCCGAGCCGCCGCCGGACGCCGGGGCCGGGCAGGGCCTGCGCCCCGCGCTACACAAAGTGACGGCCCCGGAGCTGCGCGGCGGCGGCGGCGCGTGGGCACCGGAAGTGCCGCCGCCGGCCCCGCCCCGCCCGTGCCCGTGGGGGGGCACTTCCGGTCACGCGGGGTCCGGCGCGGCTCCCGGAGGGGGCGTTCGGGAGCGAGAGGAGTGTCCCCGGCGCTCACGGGCACCCGCGCCGCCACCCCTGGGGACCCCGCGATCGTACCCCTGCAGACTCCAGACCCCTGCCCACCCCTGAGACCCAGGCCCGCACCCGAGACCCCGACCCCACCGCGGGGACCCCGCCCTGACCCTGGAGCCCTCCCGCGAGGTTCCGCGGCCCGGAGCGTCCCCTCTCCCCAAACTCACTCAGCCATGACTCGGGGACCCTACGGAATGCCGGACCCCCGCTGGGCCGGCCCTGGCCTCGGGACTGTCCCAAGGACCCACGACAGGGGAGGGAGGTGGTGACCCCGACAGGGGTCTAGTGGAGGCGCCCCTCCGGTCCGCGGGCGCTGTCAGGCCTGGACGTGGTCGTGAGCGGGATCGATCCCTTGCTGGTTCGGGACAAACGGGACTCGGGCGGGGGCGGGTGCATCGGGGCCCACAGCTCCCTGGCCGGGCTCCTGGGGACACCAGTGCGCATAGGGCGTGGTGCGGCTGGTTACCCCAATGGATGAGGACGATCACTCAGGGGCAGAGGCAGCTGAATAAATGCAATAAGGGCCTCGAGTCTTGAAGAGACCCCTGGACCTGAAAAGACCTGCTGGGGTTCTCCAAGCAGACGCAGGCAGAAGTGACGGGTGGCCATAGGCACACTGTGAAATGTCGGGGCAGTGGACTCCAGCTGGCCACCCCAGCCCTCTCCAAAACCTGTCTGCTCCCACCCCCACAGGATGTAGCTGAGAGCTGATTGGGACCCACAGAGGATGGGGCCCCTCTCAGCCTGGCTGCAGCCCGAATCAGGACTAGTGTGGCCCCCTTCCTTCCCACAGGCGCCCACTTCTGCATGGCACCCCCTCCCCACTGTCTGGTCCTGCGGGTCTCTAGGCTGTGGAACCTCAGGTCCCGAGCTCAGACCCTTCCTCACTTCACCCCAGGCGGCTGCAGTGAGAGGACTGAGTGCAGACTGACGAAGTAGACAGGGTGGGCCAGGGCACTTGGAGCAACGGGAGCAGCCACCAGGGACTGGCACCTGAACCTGAAGTTTCCAGGGCAGGGAAGGGTGTTGTTGGGCCTGGGCGGCTGGAGGGGTGCAGCTGGGGTCACCTGTGGGCTGTGATTATGAGGGAGCAGTGAGAGAGCCCCACCAGCACTGCCCCCAAGCCGAATCCACTCCCCGTGTGGAGGGCCAGGGAGCTGGGGACCCAGAGCCAAGTAAAGAACAAACGAGGGAAGGGCAGATGACACAGAACCAGCAGCTCCTTCCCTGCCTTGGAACCCTCCTCCACCTTGTCAGGCAGGGACCCCGCACCTCCCCAGCATCTCAGATCCCTTGGCCTGTCTCCACCTGGCACCTAAACCAAGACCGATTTTCAAGGCCTAGAGTCCACTGGACTGTCCCCACCCAACGGGCCTGCCCTCCATGAGGTCTGGTCCCTGCCTGATTCCATTCCCCCAGCCTAGAGCCATCCCTACAGGCCAGCCCTAGAGGCTGCTTGCCCTGTGCCCCTGTTTACTCCCTTCTATGAGGGTCCCTCCCCAGGACCCCCAGGGGCCTGTCCTTTCCCCCTGTCCTGTAACAGGCAGAGTCCCCAAAGCTTGTCCCAGCTGGGACACCGAGTGGTGCAGCCACACAAAGGATCCACAGGCCGCCCTGTCCAGCGTGTCCCAGGTCCGTTGGGGCATCCCTCCCCTGCCCCACACCTGGGACATCAGGAACAAGGGGTGCTCAGGTAGACGCCCACTATTCTGTGAGGAAGAACCTAAGCCACTCGATAGGAGCCTTAGTATCTGTGTTTATTTTAGAGTTAAAGTAAAACCCCTCACTCGTGGGCCCCCGCCTGCCCCCATGCCTTTCAGGACTGAGCTCCACCGGGTCGGGCTGGATGCTCTCGCACAGACCTTGCCAACAGCCTCCGAGGGGCCAGGCCTCTGCAGCTGACCCTCCCCCGGCCTAAGTCACCTTTGTGCCTACTCAGGGCAAAGCTGGGCTGTCCCAAATGGGGCACACCTGAGCCTCTCATGACCTAAAGTCACCTGGTCTTGACTCTTCCAGCCACCTGCGTCCGGAGCTGCCAGGGGTCTGGGCTGGCTGCCCCAGGCACCTGTAGGCTGGGCCTTGGGCACGACCATGGGGTGAGCCCCAGGCAGGCAGGCCTCTTATCTGCCACAGAGGTCCTGGAGGGCAGGAGACCCAGGGCCCAGCCTGGACTTCCTGGCCCCCCTTTACTCCGTCTCACAGTGACATTCTGGAAAGTGCCGGGTGGCCCCGCTGCTTGGGCTTCTCATGGTCTCAGACCCAGCCTGGCCATCGGCCCTCCAGACACCCCTTCCTGTGGGCCGTCAGCTCCTCACGGCACCCTCACTCCCTGCAAGGCTCCCCGGTGTATCCTGCTTTTCCTTCCTCTCAGTGGGAATTCTTGATCCGGGTGTGTGTTCACATGACTGCACTCAGCCCACGTGCTCACCAGGCCCCGTGCTGAGAGTCACCGTAGAGGCTGGGAGAGCCCGCTGGGGGGCAGAAGGGCTGCGGGCTGAGCTGTGAAAGGGGATGGGGGCCCCGGGGCTCTGGGTGGAGACAGGTCAGCGGGTGGGCCCGGCAAGAACCAAAAGAAGCGTCCTGCAGGGCTCACCGTGTTCCCAGGATGGTCTGTGGGACCACACCTGTGGGCCCAGACTCAGCTCCGGGGCCGACCCCCTCAGGGGGACGGCAGTTCAGGCCATCTGAAGTGGTGACCGTGGGGCTCCTGGACTCGGTGACGGCCCTGCCGGTAGCGGCAGGAGCCCCTGCCAGTAGTTATAAAGATAAGCAGGGGCTCGGTTATCTGAGTTCTGCATAACTGGGCATCAGGACGGGGCGTTTTTTGACATGATAGGCCAGAAGCTAGACATGCCACAGTCTGCCAACCACCCGGCTCTTCTGGGGGCAGCTGATGGGCCAGAAACGCAGGAGCATCAGAGGAAGGGACCCAGTCCCACCTGAGACCTCTGCCAACATGAGGTGGCCCAGGGGGAAGAGGGAGGGCGAGCAGACCTGTATGGGGCTGGGCCCCCCTCCACACAGCCGCTTCCCAGCCCGAAGGAGAGAGGAGAGAGGCGGTTGGCAGGGCCTGCCCAGGCCTGTGTACCCCAAATGAGAAGGAAGCAGCCAGAACAAGCAGCAGCCGCTCCCAGCCACAGGGCTGGAATCAGCCTCGGTTCCTCCTGCACAGTGGCACCTGGGCTGGTGGGGGGGGACAGGTGAGGGACAAAGGGCCCAGAGGAGGGCAAGTCCCAATGGTGAGGTTTGGACTGAGAGCCCTGGGCCAGGAGCTGAGAGCAGCAGAGGTGAGGAGGCCCCTACACCTTCATGGCAGAGATGACGTTTCAGCCAAGCCCAAAGACAGCTAGAGATTGGCATGCGGTGCAGCAGGGGCCCGAGCTCCGAGCAGGAGCCTGGGGGTGGGAAGTCTGAGGGGCCAGGGCCATCCCAAGGCTGGAGCCTCGGTGGCCCTCAAAGGCAGCAGGCAGGGGCAGCTCACAATTTACCAGGCTGCCGGGGTCCAGGTAAGTGGCAGGGAGCCCTCGGAAGGCTGTTGAGGTGCCCCAGGTGGAAAGTAACGAGGCTTCCAAGCGACAAAGTGTCATTCTGTTCAGGCTGCTGGGACACAGATACCAGCCTGGGCGGCTCAAACAGCCAACGTTGATTTCTCATTGTCCTGGAGTCTGGGAGTCCGAGATCGAGGTGCAGGCAGGTTCCGTGTCTGGTGAGAGCTCTCTTCCTGGATCAGAGCGGGCACCGTCTTGCTGTATCCTCCCGTGGTGGAAGGGGTAAGGGAGCTCCATGGGTGTCTTGTACAAGGGCACCAATCCCGTTCCTGGGGGCCCCACCCTTAGGACCCTGTCACCTTCCAAAGGCCTCCCCTCCTAACACCTTCCGGTTGGGGGTACGGATTGCGGTGTCAGAATTTGACGTGACACAGACATTCAGGCCATAGCACAAGGTGACAGAGTTAAGCTGTGGACATGGGAGTGTTGTTTGGGGGGAACCTGATCTCACTCCCGTTCTGTGAACCTGACACCATTGGGAAGGCCACTTGCAGAGCGAGCTCCTCCCTGTCCACCGATCTCCTGCAGGGCCTGCAGCTGCGCTGCAGGGTGGGCTGGGAGGGAGTGGTCACTTGGCTGCAGGCGGGTGAGGCTGGGGTTGCCAGAGGGCAGAAAGCAGGTGCAGACAGAGGTGACGGAACAGTCCACCCACCAGGGAGAGACAGTCAAGCCCAGGTCCTGCAATGGAGCAGCGGGAACCGAGCAGGTCAGGGTGTGGACTGCAGACAGGGGAGGCCAATTCTCGACTTGGCCAGACGTCTGGCCCGAGCCTCATCTCAATCAGGGCCCTGCGCTGGGGCCTTCCCGTCCATCTGGGCATCACCCAGCTCTAGCAAGAATCCTGTCAAGTCAGTTCAGCCAGAATCTCCACCCTGGGTATCTGATTGCCTTCCACGCCTAACCACAGCCCGCACCCTGCTGCCCCCCGGGGGTGACCGATCACCCCAACCTGCCTTCAGCGAGAATGCTGCCAGGGCTGTTGAACCAGAACCCTCCCCTACCAGGATGCCCTCTCCGCCCGATTTCCATCCGCAGCTCCCCCCGCCCTCCACACACCCTGCTCCTCGGCTGGAAACCCCCACTCGTCCTTCCATTCCGAGGCCTCTTTTCCCCTATTGCAGTAGATCCTGAATGAAGTGGCTTTTTAAAACTGTTTAAACTAACGTCTAGCTCTAGATGTCTCTAACGACAGTACTTCTACTCTCTCCCCCAGGGGCTTGGTGGGGACATGGGTTATTACCCTTCTGTGCCAAGCTCTTTGCTAACCACACCCCCCCATCATCATCATGTGAGGGCCCAGGAGGAGCCCACGAGGGCTTCCTAGAGGAGGAGACAGCTGAGAGTCGAGTGGGAGTGAGTTCTGTCCAGCTAGCAGGTCGGTCCCTGAAACCGGTGCACAGCTGCATGTGGTCTGCACAGAGACGGGCGCCTCCAACACAGGCCTCGTGCCACCCACGTCCCTGGATCCCTGCCGGTGAGCCACAGCATGGCTGACACACAGGACGGGGGCTTCGTGACAATGACTGGTGGGCTGCCATGCCCCTCGCCCTGTCCCCCCCCCACCCCGTGCCCACCACAGAGGGCAGGGCGGATATTAGACAGATGACGGTGCCAGCGAGCTCTATTTCGTGGCTACATTTTCAGATGCCTCCCCGAACTGTTTACGGGCACGGAGCAGCAACTTGGAAAATGTATTAACTGGACGAGATCGATTCAGAGCTTGTCCTCAGGAGACGCCCAAACCGCCTCCTCAGGCGTCACCCGCGGGTCCCCGTCTCTCCTGTGAGGGTTTCAGTGAATGAGTCCACCCCCAGCCAAGGGTCTCAAGCCAGAAGCAAGGCTCTGGGCGAGGAACACGGGGTATGCACCTGAGCACTAAGTTTACAGTGACCGGGAAAACTGTCCCACACAAACAAAGGCCCACAAAACTCAGAGGTGAAAACAGACAGGACAATGTGTTTCTTCATGTAAGTGTATTTTTTATTCTTGTGTTTCTCACTTACCAACACATCTGTAAAGTGTAGCAGGCTGTGCTAGTAAAGGAGAAGCAGGGAAGAGAGAGGGGGCGGGACCTCAGCAGCCACACCTGGGAGATCAGGGGCCCTCAGTGTGTGGGGGGCGGAGGTGGGTGGTGGGGAGCCTCCTTCACTGGCCTGCCTTCCCGCAGGCATCAGCGGCCCCCAGATGACTTTGTGAATGTAAAGAGCATCCCTGATGTCTCCGATCCTTGTCCCTAATGTCCTCCCTCTGACCCGGGTGATGCGGCAGAGTCTGCTCAGGCCAGCCCCCTGCGTGGCCAGGCCCAGGAGGACCTTGCCCTGGGTCTCAAGGCCAGAACCCAGCCTGGAGCTGGTGGGTGGTGGGTTGCAGGGAAAGGGGGGTACCCCAGGGCTCTTTCAGGTGGTGGGGCCGGGGGAGAGGTGGGGAATCATTCCTTTGGACCTTGGACAGCACTCCCAGAATGCCCTCTGCTTCAGCCACAGGCTTCTATTCCAGAGGACACCAGGGGGCCACTTTGGACATGGGAACAGGCGCGGAGGCCGACAGCCTGCTTCCCACACTTATCAGGACTCCTGTGGCCCTGGGGGGAAGGTTTTACCTCCTGCCCAGAGCAGGACATCCTGGCAATTGCACATTGTCCCAGCGGACACTCTGACCCTGTGTTTAGGAACACAACATTCAAATCAGGATTATATCCATCCCGATGAATTTCTATTCCAGAATGTACTTTCAGAGCAATTGCAATGGAGGGCGATTGGACGCCTTGGTCGGTTCTCCACATAGTGCAGACGAGTTGCTTCCCCCCGCCCTGTATTTCCTTGAAATAAGTTTCACCAGGATCGAATCCTTTTTGTGTGCGTTTTACCAGGTATATTTGATTCCCTGGAGAGCGTTCGATCGGGTCCAATGTCACCAACTGTCCCATCTGTCATAGGAAGTTTTGCCTGGTGGCTCTCATTTCTGGTTAAGCCCAGGCTTCCCAGGGGAGGCGCTGTTTGGCGGTCTCCTCACCAATCGGTGCCCGATCACGAAAGTGTAGCATGTGCTGTTTGTGCTAATGTGCAACATCCGTTCGGGCTCAGCCACACCCGCTTTCCTCTCGCAAGTGTTCCTGAGAGCGATTTGTCCCACTCTGCAGATGATCCCGAGGACAGACGGAAACTTTTCCCAGCGAGATTCTGGGATGTACGGAATGATCAGAGTAGGGTCAAGATGGTACAACAGGCAAGGCGCAGTGCCTCTCAAATCAGCGGAGCCGGCCCCCTCCTGGTCACGGAGCCTTGTCCCCTGTGGCCTGCTCAGGGCGCGGAGGCCCACTGGTGGCCGAGCGCGTGCTGCGAAGCAGACCCAGGCCCCGGGAGCGGCCGGCTCCGTGCAGCTGGCGCTCGTGGCGGCGGATCTGGACCTTGTGGCGGAAGCGCTCGCCGCAGTCTTCACAGACGTAAGGCCGCTCGCCCGAGTGCGTGCGCCTATGGCGCAGCAGGTTGGACGAGACGCTGAAGCGCTTGCCGCAGTCCCCGCATGCGTAGGGCCGCTCTCCGGTGTGCGTACGCTGGTGCTGCACGAGCGCGGAGCTCTCGCTGAAGCGCTTAGAGCAATAGGAGCAGGCATAGGGCTTCTCGCCGGTGTGGATGCGCTGGTGCGTCACCAGGTTCGAGTGCTGCGAGAAGCCCTTGCCGCAATCACTGCAGCGGTGAGGCCGCTCCCCGGTGTGCGTGGACTGGTGCCGTATCAGGTCAGTGCTGCGGCTGAAGCCCTTGCCACACTCGCCGCAGATGGTTGGCCGGTCCCGGGCGCGCCGCCGTCTTCGCTGCCTGGCTGGAGCCAGGGCCGCGCTGCCCGCAGGGCCCGAGATGGGTACCACTGCAGGCGGGGGTACAGCCGGCAGCACCATGAGCTCCTGCAGCACCACGTAGCCTGGGGGGGCCACCATGACAGCAGCTGGAGCTCCTGGCCCTGAAGCTCCACCTGCCCCTGCGGCAGGTACGAACTCCAGCTGCAGCTCTGGTTGCACGGGTGACAGCTCCAGCTGCACCTCCTGCTGCTGGGCCCCTAGCTCCACCGGGGTTAGCTCCAGCCGTACCTGCTGCTGCTGCTGCTGCTGTTGCTGAAGCTGCTGCAACTGCTGCAGCTGCTCCAGCTGCTCCAGCTGCAGCTGCTGCTGTTCCAGCTGCTTCTCCAGCTGCTGCAGCTGCTCCTGCAGTTTGAGCTGCAGCTGCAGTTGTTCCTGTTGTCGCTCCAGCTCCTGCTGTCGCTGTAGCTCCTGCTCTGACTCTAGGTCCACTGGCATGAGCTCCAGCTCCACTTCTTCCTCCTCCTCTGGCTCCAGTGGACGGGGCTGCAGCTGCTGCTGTTGCAGCTGTTCTTGCTGCTGATGCTGCTGAAACAGCTGCTGCTGTAACTGTTGCTGCTGCTGCTGCTGCAATAGCTGCTGTTGTAACTGTTGCTGCTGCTGCTGCAACAGCTGCTGCTGCTGTAACTGTTGTTGCTGTAAAAACTGCTGCTGTAACTGTTCCTGTTGCTGCTGCAACAGCTGCTGCTGTGACTGTTCTTGTTTCTGCTGCTCCTGTTGCTGCTGCTGCTGTAACCGTGCCTGCTGTTCTAACAGTTCCTGCTGTTGCTCTTGTACTTGCTGTGCTTGTAACTCTCCCTGCCGTTGCATCAGCTTCAGTGGCTCATGTGGCACTGATCGGGGTTCTTCCTGTAGTTCCTGCTGTCGCTGAGGCAGCGGCTGTTGCCCATCCGGCTGCTGCTGGGGCTGTTCCTGCTGTTGCTGCAATAGCTGTTGCTCTTGCACTCGCTGCTCTCGCACTTGTTGCGTTCGTGGAAGTTGCCGCTTCGGTTGCCGATGTCTCCGGCGTCGGTGTTTTTCCCGTAGTCTCTGCTGTTGCTGTGGCAGCTGTTCTTGTCCGTCTTGTTGCTGCTGCGGTTCTGACCGATAGCCCGATGGCTGGCTTTGTGGCTGCTGCTGTTGCAACTGTGCTTGCCGTGGCTGTTGTTTCGGCCGCACCTCCGGCTGTCCTGGCTGGGCCTCCTCAGCAACCTCACCGGCCCCCTTCTGGGCAGAGACTGCTGGCCGCATGGCGCTGCTGCTCCTCTCTCGAACCTCTTCTTCCTCCCGACTCTCACTGCCACCGCTGCCACCTGGAGTGGAAATGGCAGGAAGCCAAGAGAGAAAGACCTGCAGGCAGCTCTCTGTCCACACTGTCAGGACCTCCCCCTTGCCCTGCCCTGTGTACAGCCCATCTAGGATACACGACAGAGCTCTCAGCAGGGACCCAGCAGCACTGGAACAAGTGACATGGCATCATGGCAGAGACTGAAATGCCCAGCGGTGTGGGGTTGCTTGGAAATGCACCCAAAAGACTCCTGGTCACATCACTTGGGACCCCAGCTCCCTGGCCCCCTCTATGGGCCGTCCCCTGCACAGGCACGGCAGTGACACCAGCACAGGCTCCCGACAGAAGTCCCTTGTGCCTAGTCACCCTCTGTGGGATCCGTGAACCAGCCGTGCCGAGGCACGAGCGCACGCTGCAGTAGGACCTCAGTTAGGCCTGCACCTTGAATAAGTGAAATGCGCTGTCTCTGCAAAGAAGAGGGATTTCTGGAGAGCCGTCTGGAAGTGTCGCCACAGGCAGCTTCTACAAGTCACCAGGGTTTCAGAGAGAACACGAGGCCTCTCTGGGGAGACCTTTCCCGGGGAGCAGCCGCCCGACCCCCCGCAGGCTCGGTGCCCTCCTCGTCTGTGAACTAGCTTGACGCTACGCAGCCCGGCACTTCCTGAGCGAAGCATGGAGGGCCTGGGCACTTCCCCTAGAACCTGGTAGATGCTCGAAGAGCCCCTCTCCCGGTGGGTTAGGACTGAGTCTGCAAACTAACAAGCAGTTTGGAAATGCCAAGGATACAACTAGCTCTGTCTGCAGTGGCCTAAAGACAGGCCATGTTTGACATTGCCGTTTCGGAGTGGAGAGGCCACCTCACAGCTCCACGTGATCGTGGCAGCTGGCCAGTTCCCTAACCTCTGGGGACCTGAGTTTCTCCATCTGCAAAAGGAGACAGAGCCTTTTCGGGGACACTGAGAACCGGAGAGGATAAACGCACAGCCCAGCGTGATGTAAGCACAGAGGAAGCCCTGCCACGCAGCCGCCGCTCCGTGGCAAAGCACTGTGCCTTCTGCACAGCATCTGCAGGCAGTTTCTCACTTGGAGCATCACAGCTGGGTCAGCACAAGTTCCAAGGGGCTTTCTCCACTCCCAAGTCCGATGTCAACATCTGTGCTTCCTACAGCACCCTATTTTCAGTTTTGTGATGGAAAGCAGAAATCTGATTGATAAAATTGTGCCTTCTGGTCACTCTTCCAGGAACATATTGATTTAATGAAGGGATCGCTACATGGGGATAACTTCCTTTTGGAAAACGCTTCCTAATAACCAGGAAGGTGCCCTTCCAGACAGTAAGCTGCTCGCTGCTCTTCAGTCCCTTTTCTCCACCACGGTGGGCCTGGGGCTGGGTCAGGGCACCCTCGCTGGGGGCCTGAGGTCTATCTCCTGATTTAGGAGGTCAGAGCACCCCCGAGCCCCTCACCTGAGAGGGTGTTAGGCCCTGGGCCCCCATCTTCAACACACCGCAGCTCCAGCACAAAGGTCTTAGTCGCCGGCCCCAGCTCCATCCTGGCGGTCAAACCAAGATTCCAGGGAGCCGGCTGTGCTGAGAGGAGGGAAGGAAGGAAGCTGTTCGGATGGGCAGTGGTGCTGTGCGTGGCAGACCCCAGGGCACGGCATGGGCGCCCAGAGAACCCTCGACTCTGCCTCAGGCCCCCCAGAGCAGGCAGCTCCGCCCCTTTTGGAAAGGGGCCAGTGCGGTCCACGGCTGGGAAGGAAGGGGCTGGGAAGGAAGGAGCGGGAGCCACCTGGAGGAGACTCAGCTCCCAGGCCCATTCCCTGGCACAGAGGCGGCCCTTCCTGATGCGGCCCATGCCCAGGGGCAGCCTGCAGCTGCTCCTCACCGAGAGGACCGTGGGGAACCAGACCCCTCATGAGGACGGGGAACCGAAGTCCCAGAGGGGCATCTGGGAGGTCTGCAGAGAAGAGTCTTGTCCATCCTGCACTTCCCCGCCCACTCAGAGCACCGACCAGTCCGTGCACCCTCTGGTCTCCTGCCTCCTGGGCAGGGGGTTCGCCCAGCCTTCCCAGGCCACTGGCAAGCCAGGGGTTCCAGGCCCCGTGTGTCCCGGTGCCAGCTCAGCTCCATGAGAAGGCAGGCCTCCAAAGCACTACAACCCAGGGAACTGGCCAGCTGCCGGCCTGGCCCCAGGCCCGCGGCCCAGGGGCCCCTGAGGTGTGCGAGGGTCCTCGCCTCTCCATATCAACCCTGGGCCCCTGCAGAGGTGTCCCCACCTCCAGTCCTCCCACCCCTCCTAGCGGGATGACTCTAGGTCCCTTTTAGAACCCAGTCTGAAACCTCTTAAGAGAAGCACCCCTGGCTTCACCCAGGTCTCCCACCCACTGGGCCTCACCTGGTACAGCATTTCCTGCTTCTCACCGACAGCCTCCGCACTAGGGGAGGTGAGGGCAGCAGGGTCTGGAAGGTGAAGGCCAGAGCCCTTAGCCAGCTCCTTCCTGTGGCACCTCCATCCAGAAAGAGCTGGGGAGGCGCTGGGCACCTTTCTGGGCACTCCAGAGGGTCGGGCAGCTGTCAGGGCTGTCGAGGTCGCCCTGGGCCAAAAGAAGGAACACAGCTGAGTTCCAGAGCAGAAGTTGGTGTCGGCTCCCTGGGGTGGTGAGAGAGCCCCATCCAGCGCTGGGCTCAGAGCTGGTGGGCCGCGACCATGGTGCGCGCCACAGGCTCCAGAGCAGACCAGGTGGTGTGACCCCGGTTGAGGTTGGCAGGGGCCAGGAGACACCCGTCTCGGCTCAGGAGGCTCAGCCCAGGGCAGTCCGGGCCCGGCCGGGCTCCGCCAGAGGCCACAGGTGTCCGGATCCCGGGAGCCTCGGGAGGGGGGGCGGGCGGCGCGGCCGCGCGGGGGTCCCTGTTCACGCGCCCGCCCGCCCGAGTGTGTGTCCAGCTGGCCTGCGTCCGTGCGGGCAGCGGCCCGGCCGGGGTGGGGGCAGCGGGGGCCGACACAGGAAGTACCCCCAGCATCCGCATCCTGTCCCCCGCCCGCCGCCTGCCGCCCGCGGGGGCGCGCCACGGCCCCCGCCGCCGCTGCCGCCGCCACCGCCGCCGCTCTAGGCAGCCGCGAGCTCGGTGGGCTTAACCCTTCCCGGCCGGCCGCTCCCCCGTGGCGTGGGACGCGAGGCGGGGACCCCGTGGTGCGGAGGGAGCAGCAAGAGCAGCGCGCTCTGACGCATCCCCAGGCGCGCGCGTCTGCGCGCAGGGCTTGGCGACTCGACAGTCGCTGCACGGGTCTCAGCGGAGGCGCTCAGTCTCAGGGCGCCCCTGGACCGTGTACAAGTTGTGGTCAAAGAGGTGACACCGAGTTAATGAGGAGGCCGCGTCCCAGGCCTGGTGGGCTCGGGAGGGGCTTCCCCCTCCACGCCGCGGACCCTCTCCCAACGGGCGGGCGGTGGGCTGAAGCGCTCCGGCTGCCTGGAGAGCTAAGCTCATCCCTTTCCGGACCCCTGCTCGCTTCCAATGCGCACAGGACCCGGTGGCCAGGCCCCCTCCGCGGCCCCTCCTCCTGCCCTCCCCAGGCCCAGCCTCCTGAGCGGCCTCCTGCCTGCGCGCTGGCTCTCCCGCTCTGAGAGGCCGTACCTGGCCATCTATCAACCCGTCTGTTTGCTGTAAGGCCCTCAGGCAGCCCTGGCTGAAATCAGGACAGTCAGATTCCCCGAGAAAACCCAGAGACGCGGCGACGGAGAGTCGTTCCTGGGGTGGAGTGTGGGAATGCCCCACTGGGGTAGGGGGACAGTAACCATCTGGTGGACACATACCTGGCCTCCCCGTTCCACCTTTTGAGTGAGTCCCCTTGGCCCCCCAGGCACTGGGGCTTCCCCTCCGGCCCTGGCGAGAAGCCTGCCCACTGCGTGGGGACTTCACAGAAGAAGCTGGAGGTGGGGGGCACACCCGCCTCAGTGGGGCAGCAAGGAGAAGGCAACTCCGGAGGAAGAAGCATCTGGGGCGGGGGTCTCTTCCAGCCAGATAGCCCGAGGCGTGGAGACCGGGGTGCCAGTGGGGAGGTTAAGGATAAACGACCACCTCCCTGCTGAACGGGTGTGCGCCGGCCCTGGGAGGTCGGGGAGCGGAGCTCTCCCTGTCTCCTGGGAGAGCGCAGGCCCACAGGATCCGGAGAACCCTCCCCTCCCGGAGTCTTCACACTCTTCCTGCGTCCTCCGAACCACACCTTCTCATTCTCACCACGCTCCTGACCTGGGAACGTGCAAGCCCCTCTCTCTCTCTCTGTCTGCGGTGGCCAAACTCCCTGGAAGATGCGCCATCGTGGTTCTGTCTGTATCTGCCTGCCCTCCTTCCCCCCTCTCCATCCTGGCCCCCACCTGTCACTCCTCCAGACAGTCCCCTTTAATGTCACCACTGACCTCCAGGTCACTAAACACCTCATCTGGCCCCACCTCTGGGCAGCACCGGACACTTCTCTGCCGAGCGCCAGAGCGCACTGGGCTCCCAGCCCTGCGGGTCCGCCCCCTTTCCGACTCCTGCGCGGGCTGCGCCTCCTTCGCTGGCCGGGTTGCTCACCTTTCCAGGATGCAGGTGCAGGAGGTGTCTCCCCACACTTACAGTGCCCCCACCCACACACGCCCTGCAAGGATCTCCCTCCTGCCTGAACCAGGACACCCAACTCCAGCGCCAGCCACCCTCGCTCCTCTTCTTGGTCCCTTTTCTTTTTTGAGGGCTGACACAGTACCTAGCTGAATACGCCCAATAGCTCTAGGCGGCTTTGGCAGCAACAAAAATATCTCCTAGCTTCTGAGTCCACTCCCGTTTCTTCTGAGAAGCCCGGCGCATGTCTAAATGACTTGCTCAAGGTGCTGTCGCTAGAATTTCCCTCGTGGGAAGTGTCCGTGGACCACCCACTCTGAAAGATGCGCTTTCCCACGTAGAACCTAATTCTAAAACCTAATGCGTTTTCCCACGTTCACCTAATTGTAAAAAAAAAAAAAACTCCCCCAGGCTCCCATTGCAAAGATACGTCCTCATTTATTTAACCAGGTACGTACTGATGAAGCTGTTTCTCACGTTTTGCTGCTGCGAACGTGCCTGCACCTGAAACTCAACTTACCTGGGAGAGCTCTTCTGCGAGATGCGTCCCCCCGCAGGGGATGCGCTGGTCCAACCACATGATACGTGCAGAAGCGGGTTTCCAGCTGTGCGCACGCGAGACACGGAGTTCTTCTTTCCGGTCAATGAAGCTGCTAAAACATCCATGACCTGCGTGTCCCTTTTCCACCCGAGCACCTGGACACCTGCTTCTGCCCTCCCTCCAACCTGGGTGTGTGTCTGTACCATTTTGAGATGCTGCTCTGACAAACTTGTACCAATTTAAATCTGCACCAGCCAAGAATAAAAGCGCGTGCTTCTCCACCACTCTGCTAGAGCAAGGAGACTCACAGTTCTAAGTTTCAGAAGCACCCAGCTAGAGCTGACTGGAAAGGAAAACACTATTATCTCATTTAACAAGAGGGGCGATGATGGGGAACGCAGGGTTGGGTAAGGGCCGCCTTCCCAAGGGCCTGGGGAGAGGCTCAGTGCTTCAGAACAGAGGTGCCATCCCCTCTTCTGCTGTGTCTGCCGAAACATGTCCCTACTTCTGGTCCCTTTGGGGTTACAGGAGAGCTCACCAGAAAGCCGTCTTCTCAGATTTGCCCCCACATTGGCCAGGGTCACACCCCGGGCCCATTACAGGGTCAAATTCTGACCAGAGGTGTGGAAGGACCCATTGCAATTCACCCCCAAGGGAGGGGCCCGGGCTCCACGAGGAGGTTCCTGTTGAGTATGGGCCCCAGATGATGAGGTTCACCATGGAGGAGGAGACAGCTGGCGGGCAGGAGGTGGCCAACCAGGTAGTTCTCCCAGAAACTTGCTGACGGCCGTTTTTTTTTTTTTAACAACCACCAGTGCGATGGGCAAGATCACTTCTTTGCTTCAGGTGGCGTTTTTAAAACTCTAGGCGACGTTAAGCATCATTTCCTACATTGCAGAAGGCAGAGGTGTCACGGGGACACGGCATTCTGCAGCAGCTGCGAGACCTCTTTTCTGGGTGGTTACGTTAGTGGTCCAGATGCCAAGTTTATTGCATTCATGTCCGTTTGCTCCATGTTTCTGTCTGACTTCATGACGTTCCACATTCACATGGTCCCAAAGTCAAAATTGCAAAGCAAAGCACACTGGGTGCACCACCCTGCTCCTCCCCCTCCCCCAGGCCACGATTTACTAGTTTTTCCTCTATTCATCCTTCATTTCTATTCATATTTCCCCACCTTCTTTTTTTAAAAATAAAAAAGGTATCATCCCATAAACACTGCTGGGCCTTGCTTTTTTCCCCTTCTTACTTAATAAATCTTAGCGATCACTCCATAGCTTAATATAAATCCTTTTTTCTTAAACAGGACTTTCCTACTCTACCACGAGTACAAAACACCTGTTGATGGATTTGCAGGCAGCGTTTGGCCCTTTGCTCTCGCACACGCGCCCCCAAAGACAAGCCCCCGCCGTTGGATCTGGAAGTGCGCTCCCCGGGGCTGGGCCACCGCCTGTGTCATTCTGCAAAGAGCACTGAGTTTCGTTCCAAAGGGGCGGTCCCATGGCGGCCTCCACCGGCTCCACGGAATTAAGCAGGTGACTCTACTTCTGACTTCTAGACGTTCCGTCTGGCTCCTTTCCAAATCTGCTGGGTAATGCATGCTTCCTTTCTCCCTGTGGACGCATCTTCACCCTCGTCTCTTGTTCCTTCAAACAAAGCGAGGGCCGGTGTCTCAGTCCCACCGGACAATCCTGGAACGTTCTGGGCCTGCTCCCACCGTCGGCGGCATCTGCTGGTTCCTGTTTGGGGCATCTGGTGAGCTCTTCACCGGACGCAGGTCATTGTCCTTGAACGATAGCTTGCAGGCTCCTTGAGGCCTGTGACAAATGCCTTTCCTCACAGGTCTAGGGACCCCCCATGAACTGAGCTCACAGCGGGAGGCACCCTCGGGTCACCTGGGCTAAGTAAGGACCAGCCTGTCACTGCTTCTCGGGGACAAGCCTTTCCTTCTGCCTCCCCATGCTCCGTGCAGGGCTGGGGAACCTTCCGCTGTCCTGTTTCCCCTGAGGGCACAGCCCTGGGGGCTGCAGGGAACTGGGGAGCTGGTGCCTGAGCAGACCCCCCTCCTTGGGCCCTGGATCCCTAAAGCCCTCGGGGCAAAAGTGCCTCCGAGAGCCATCCCTGCCCTCAGGTCGCTGCACCCCCAGCCTCTGACCCGGGAGTACCTCACAACCTGTCAGCACAGAAATCCTAAAATACGCTTAAAAAATAACTTAATCAGACAAATAGCACGTGAGTACATCATCCTTATTTTATTTTATTTTTTTAAATTTATTTTATTGATTCTGCCATTACAGTTGTTCTATTCCCCCCTTCATTCCCCTCTACCCTGCACACCCTCCCCCACCATTCCCCCCCTTTAGTTTATGACCATGTGTCTCCAGTTCTTTAGATTCTATATTTCCCCTGCTATTCTTGCCCTCCCCCCATTTTCTATCTACCGTCTATGCTACTTATTTTCTGTACCTTCTCCCCCCTTCTCCTCTGTTGCTAACCCTCCATGTGATCTTCATTTCTATGGTTCACTCCTGATCTAGCTGTCCTCTTAGTTTGTTTTTGTTATAGGTGTGGTTGTTAATAACTGTGAGTTTGCTGTCCTTTCACTGTTCATCTTTTTTATCTTCTTTTTTTTTTAGTCCCTAAAGCTGGTGTAGCTCAGTGGACTGTGTGCGGGCCTGCGAACCAGATAATCGAGGTTTGATTCTCAGTCAGGGCACATGCCTGGGCTACAGGCCAGTTCCCAGCAGGGAATGCACGAGAGGCAACCATACATTGATGTTTCTCTCTCTCTCTTCTTCCCTTTCCCTCTAATGATAAATAAATAAAATCTAAAAAAAAAAAAGTAAAACACGGACAGTACTGGCTCATATATGTGCCAGGAAGGGGC